ATTAAATCGATTCATATAAGTGGGTCCGTTAAGTCATGTGATTTATTAAGATACTTAGCGTTAATATAAATAATTCTTTTTTTTAATTATTAATTATTATTTATTTTAACTTTTGCTATCTAAATTAGCTCTATGTAAAGCTTTTAAAGTAATAAAGAGAATTTTATCAAATTATTCAAACTCATAAATTAGCTTTAAGTAAAGCTTTTAAAGTAATTAAGGGAATTCCAGCAACATATTCAAACTCATCATATTCATACTCATCATAAATCTCGCAACAAAGCTCAAGGTTCGCATTATAAAGATATTCTACTACCCTACGAAATTCTTGGATTATTTTTTTAAATCTGTCATTATTTACTCCATTTCCAAGATTCCTTTCGGGATTGAAAGGCTCTTCTATACATAATTTCCAATATATCTAATTTTTTCCCATTTATTCAGGCACTTTCCTAGCCAAAGAGAAATAATATAATTTTCATAATCAAAGTCATAAGCAAACCTAATGTAAATTACATTTTTATTAATTTAGCGATTTAAATAATAAAAATTTTACATAATTTAGAATTTTATTTTTCATATGTTAAACCCAATTAAATTAGTTTAACAGGTTTTAACATATAAAAAATGAAACTCCTAGCTCCTCTAATATTACCATTTAAAAAAAGCAAATAACAATCCACCAATTGATTCATTATTTTTGTATTCAACTTCCAATAATTCTTTTTCATTTTCTTTTTTATTAATTTTTAATACTGATAAAATTGGAGGATAACGTATTTGAAGGAAATTCAAAGTCATACATGTCCAAGTATATGATAATAGTTCCGTAAGCTATAGTAATGAATAGAAATAAATCAAGAAATTTTGGAATTTTATACAAAATAAATTTAAAATCAGCATACCAGCATTGTTTAAGTCTCGTCTCTGTACCCAATGTTTTATTATCATTACTAGTGGATGAACTCTTGAATCTAAACATACATACGACTTTATTAGATTTGTGTTATATAAGGCCTGCGCATTGTTGACATTGATGTCACATGCTAACTTCCTGCAAATATAATAATGGTAAGATTACAATAATAAAAAGCACAGCGACATTAGAATAATTATGTACAGAGTAGGATCCCAGAATTTAACAATAGGCACTTTAGCTTTGGGAACACATTTAACTACTTTCATTTCATCTGTTTAATATACAAAAGTTTAAGATTAATTCATTTTTTGCAACACAAATTGATAAATAAACTTAACACACGTTTTTGCAACTTCTTAGACAATGTAAGTATGTTTTCTAATTTTTTACTTGGTGTCGTAATGCATATATCAACGTCCGAAGTTGATGTTCCAAGAAAATTCACAGATGATCTCATAAAGTGGACAATAAGCTCAAGTAATACATATATTTAAATATCATTATTTAGAAAATTTTATTTACCCAAACATATTAACTTTTATTTCAAAATTAGGCCATTCATAGTTTAAAATTCTTTCAATTTTCTTGACAAAATTTTTTCTTTTTTCTTCATCTATACTTTTTGG